GATATATGGATGTGCTAAAAGAGGACATGAAGTTAATTGGGGTAAGAGTAGAGGATGCTGAGGATAGAGTTAGGTGGAAACAGATGATTCGCTGTGTCGACCCCTAACGGGAACAGCCGAAAGAAGAATAAGATGTGCTGTCACATAGGAAGTTAAAAGTATTTGTGCTGTAAAAGCAAAATAAAACCCATTGCTTCAAGCTTAATCAAACAGTTTTTATCACCTACTTAAAACTTGAAGATAACTGATAACAGATTATGCAAAGACAAACACTGGTCTGACTACTTTTGTTAAGTAATGAGCTAATTTGCTGAATTGGGAGGAAATAGATTTATCTTGTGAACACAAATCCTGGAAAGTACAGTATATAGATACACCAGAGGTGCATGGCCCATATGAAGTAGATGATGTGAATATTTTGCTGCATATGCATGTTGAGGTATAAACTGGGTGATGTTTTGAAACTTCTCTTAGCTTTCTTTATGATAAACTTCTACTCATGTAGGCATGGGTGTTCTCTTGTGAGGCGGTCCAAGTGCCTCTTATTAAACCAAACCATGATTTTTAGTGCTTTCTGGGTCTAAAGCTAAACCTTTAAGAGAGAATTTATAACTTTTGGAAAAAAAACAAAACAATTTTCCCTAACAAGAAACTGACAAGCCTGAAGAGACAGACTTGGTGCAAATATTCAATACATTTAGAAGACATATTGCAGGCTAATAAACAAGTGTAAAAAGACAAGACAAAGAGGGCAAACAAAATCATTGCAGCAAATAGACTGTAAACGTATAATTGATATTTTATTTTTCATTGAATAGTTTCAAATTTTTTTCCGTGCCTTCAGACCAAGATGTGAATCAGAAGGAACAAACAAATCCCTTGATTGAGAGTACAAGTCTGTCATTAAAGAGAAACAAAAATAATTATGGTCAATACATCTTACCAACCATCATTTGCTTAGCTGTTATGGCATTTATTACTGTTTAAAGAGGAACTATTCTTAATAAGTAACAATCTTTAAACATATATTAGTATCCTAATCTGAAACCAACCTTGAACAAAAAGCTGTTCCTTGGGTCTGTGCATAAAGATGCTGGACAAGTGGCCAAAACAGAATGGTGTTTGTTCAGAAACTCATGCAAGCTGGCCTCTAGGAGACTGCTTAAAGACAGTGATAGACAACTCTGCGATCCACATTCTTCATAACCATTTAGTTCTCTGTATACATGCTCTGTGGTATTCAGACAGCTATAATGGTTGATCTCATTTGCTGCAAATCCAGTGTAAAATTCATTGTCTATAAAAATATTGAGATTTACTTGAACCTAACCTTCTGACTATGTCATAATAAAAACTTCAGATGTCCATTGCAGTTGCACAGTGGGATGTACTGTATAAATATTGTATAAAATAAGGCAGTCTTTTCAGTAGGATAAACCAGGTACAAAAATTTCTGGGAGAAAAAATTTTCAAGTCCAAAATGTTTTCACATATTTCTGCTGTTGTCAAATGTCAAGCGGTTTACAGCATTAAACCAAGAGTAAGGGATTGTTGCAACAATTAATATGCCCACGCACCCACATCTACAACCCAAACACACCCATACATACACAGATGCACACCCACACACACACACACTCCTGATGATCAACAATGACAGCTTATTCTCCAATGCAACATCCCATCCCTGGACAAGTCACTGAGACATTTCTAATATTGTTTACAGTGCAATACAAAAGTGTTCATTCAAACTGGTTCTGTATTTTTGTTAAGAAAATAAAAATGTTTAATATGGTAATGCTTCATTTGAATAATTGTACATTTTTTGAGAGTTGTGTCTTCATCAACTTTGGCTTCTCTCTCTTTTGAATTCATTTTGTTCTTATTTATCAACTAATTCATTTATTAATTATAATATAGAAAATATGGAACATCTAAGAAAAATTAACATACCAAATCATCTGTAATTAGTTACCTATGATCATAACGTTGAGGTTTTTGTTTTTCAGAAATGGCCTAAAGTGAAGATCCACTTCCTGACCCAAAAAGAAAGCATCTCCTCACACACGTGTCTCATGACAGCTATGTGTCAACGTGGATGTGTTTCTGAAGGACACACGGGAAACAAAACAAATCAAAAACACACACACAAGCAGTGGAGTGTTCTTTCATGGTGTGGCCTCCAGGGGCAGAGTGAGCAGTCCTGCCTTACTTGCAAGCACAGGGATGGATGTCAAAGGTGATTATATGGCTACACCTTCATATCCAGACCACCCTTTCATCCTTTCCTCCAGTGTTGCTCACTCCTTTAGTAAACAAGTAGTTTTTATTCAAACAGCAGACAAAAGAGCCCACATGGTAATTAAGGGATGGATGCTTTGAGGAGGCTTTAAAGGACCTTCACTCAGTCATGTCCCTTGACCAGCTACGAATGCCTGAGAGGCACAAGAAGTTTATAAAGATGCTGTGTGTCCGTGTCTCTATGTCACAGTTCTCCATCTGACAGGGTGGTAAATCCAGCAATGTTATTGCTGCAATTGCCTGTCAGGAAGTCTTTTTGTGGTTTCTGTATCGATAGACACGTGGACGCTTGGCGCGCTACAGAAGCAGGAGAGTGAAGGCGAGGAGGCCCTTTGGTTGGCTGGGCTGGCAGGGAGAGAGACACCCCAGCAAAAGACAGGATGACTACCCCGGACTGCAGAGTCTCAGGGCTGAACACTGCAGTACCTACTCTGGAGGCGGTCGCAGGCTGTGTAGCCTCCTGTCATCCAGGCCTTTCCAGTACTTGAAGTTGTTGTCCAAGTGCTGCATAAGATTGGGGAGGTCTGCAAAAGCTGCAAAGACAAAAGAAGTTAAAACTTAATGTAATCTTTAAATCAGTACAGAATCGAGCAGTTACTTAACCTTAGATATTGCCTTTAGTCGTGGCAGAACTAGTTTCAGGTACTACATCTTTTAAACAGAATGAACTGCAAGCTGCTCTTAAGCTAGATCCCTTCACAACCTTTGGAGATTTTTGAATGCTGCTTGTTCTCAGGTGTCTCTTGTAAAGAGACCTGAATCTTAATGAGATAGATTCAAAAGTTTATAAAATATCAGATCTGATACCGTTTTTAATGACAGTTTTTAAAACCAGCACCATGATCTTTTTTATTTTTTGTAAAAGACTTAGTAGGAATGCAAGAATTCAACTTTATCTCTCTGATTTCCTCAACCTAGGATATCTGCCAATACTGAGGGTAGATCTCATACCAATGCACTAATCTTTTGCCCAGACTTAAAATCTCTATGAAACACTGTACGTGAGTCAATAGATTAATTTTTATGCAGGGCTGGATGAGGACAGAGTTTGGTGGGGAATTATAAACGGAACTGGTTGCTCACTGTGACTACACTGTACCTGACAGTGGGAACACAAAATTTCATAATGAGTAACAAAGAAACTGCATCTATGTCATGTCCTGGTCAATACCCATTTGGATTGATAATGTCAGAATCTGCATCGATACCGATTTGGCATAGGGAGCTGGTGTATCCCTCAGACTCGTGAAGCATGTTTTTTAACAGTGATTATTCTTTGTTGCTAATTTAGCAGCTGTACAACTTACATACTTAGTATAAGGATTTTTCTCATTCATTTTGAAGATTATAATCACATGCTCTCTACTGTACATGCTCCTTACAACTGTCTACTTTAGTGAAGAAGTAATTGTCCATTGTGTTATCAGAATTGTGTTTGTCTATGCTAATACTGTATACAGGTCTCTCTTAAAGGCCCCTGAATCTAATATGTACAAAAACACATCAACTAAGTAACAACTAATAGCACTCAGATGTATAAATGTGTGTGTCTCTTGTGTTTGCATCATGCTATGCAGTCTTACCATCCCATGCATCAAACATGTCTGTAATGAAGTAGTCTATGAAGGAAATCTGGGACTTCGGGATGCTACACGTGTTTCTGTCAAACACAGGCATAACCACTGGTAGACCTTGTCTCTTCTCCTCGTCCGTCTGTATCAGATACAACAGGACAAGTGATCATGCACAAAAATCAACAGTGTTGCCTGCTAGACCCATCTCCATACACCATCGACATGTCATATTTTACCAAATTACCTGTGCAAAATATTCCTCTGAAATGCGTCCGGCCCATTCTATACAGAGCTCCTGATGCCTACATGGATTGGAGATGTCCGCACACTTAATCAGCATCCGCTTGACAAGAATGCGATTCTCAGGGGACGTCAGAATGCTTTTGACCGATTCCTCATCACCGTTTCCCTGAAAGAGAAACAGAAGAACATCAGCACAAAGAAAACCAAACTTATCTCACTGCTCATCTGCAGCAAATGACAGCTCCTTATAGCAGCTGAACAACTTTAAAAATAACCGTCTGTACATAAACCAAACTGGGAAGATAAAGTACATCTGGCAACTGATAAAAGTTCTAGTTTCCTTTATGTACAATAGAAGGGGTCTGTATTTAGCACATGTTCATAATGAGTTACACTTACATATAAAAGAGCACAGCATGCTCCATGCACATGTCACATGATTTGCAGGCCACTGCATGTTACAAGACTGAGTTCACTGAGGTCTGTTTTGCTTAGTCGAGGTGACTGAGGTCTCATTTTTTTCTAGATCTTCAAATCTACAATTAAAACATTTTCTCAGAGCATTGGTAACTTCTTTATTAAACCTCACCTTCATTAATTACAGTTTATTGCAAACATGTCATTGTGTCTAAATTTACCAGTTTTAAAAGTGGCTGTATTCAATATAAGAATTCAAGGAAAAAGCAGCACTCAGATCATTTATTTGTATCATTCCTGCCTTTAAAAGGCAAGATAACTTTTAAATGTCTGTGTTGAGCATTCCACACATAGATGAGAAAGATGTTACAGAGTTGTAAAATTCTCTCCCCACAAACCTATCTGTGCCCAGGCAACAACAGGCCACAAGTCCCCCTGAACCAGCATCTCTTAAGCTCTGATCTTATTGTTGCTTGTATACCGCTGGCCTGAGTTTCTGCCACAGTGTGTGACAGAATGAGATTATGTTTATCTAGTGTCTGAATGCACCTGTGTCCTTCCTGTTCTGATACAGAAAACTGATCTAGTTAGAAAACAAAAAGCTAAAGTTAGAACTAACATTTCTACACAGGTATGAACTATATACAAACATTTGTAAAGCATTTCATTTTGTTTTTATTCTCACCCCATTCTCTTCCAGGGCAGCCAGTGGCTTGTTGATACTGTTGACAAATTTGTTGACATGTTCAAAGTGTTTGGTCATCTCAGTTGCAAGCACCATATCAATGATGGCCTGTCGTAGTGTTCGATATTCATTCCTGGAGAGAAAGAGACGAACAGAAATCAGATGGGTGAAGGAGACTGATGCAGGAGAAAAACTGTGACAAAACTGAGAGAGAGGGAGATGACAGTGTGGTAAATACCATGAGAACCAGTGTGAACAGTTTCCCCCCTTCTGACTGCAGTGACAGTGGCGATGAATGGATGCTTTGTCCAGCTTCCCCCTCTGAGGGGACCAGCACATGTGAGCTATTCTGCTTTGGGACCCAAATCACATTACTACACCCACAGTACTGCTTTCGCTGGCAGTCTTAGCTTATCCCATATAATAGCTCAGGTGACTACATCACAGTGTTTTATGAAGAATTTCCATTAATTCTATGAATTTTGTCAACCGTTGATAAATACAAATATTCTCATATACAGAATATTTGTATATCTAGTAAAGCCAAATTTGCAAAAGTAATGCAATCAGTCTAGAGCTGCAATGATTAGCTGAGCGACAACTGAATTGAGTATCTGTCGGTTTTGGACTGTTGATAGAAGAAAATGAGTCATTTGAAAAATGGACAGAATTGTTGGTTGAAGCCCTAGTGAAATCACATATTATGACAAAAGTCAGCTAATTCATTCCATTTGAGATAAATTAAAGGAATTGCTCAGCCCAAAATAAAAATGTAGTAATCATCTTCACATTGTGTCAGTCAAAACTGTGATTTTAGCTCTTTTGTAAACCATGAGAATTGTTTTTTTTTTTTTTTTTTTG